CTGGCCATAGGTGGCGAAGGTGAGGCTCTTTAGTGAAGACCGGAGGGGTTTTATTGGTATGAGGGGAAGAAAAACTTTTCCTCTAATCCCAGGTTCTGTTCTTGGGGGCCTGTGAGTTAAACAGAAAAAGGGCAGATTAGCAAGAGAAAAGGCAGACTCAGTCACATAGTGGGGAGGTCACAGAAAAGTGACTGGAAGCATCTTCATGGGGAGGAGGAGAAAGGCAGCTTTGGGGAAATAGGTGATTCTGTGGAAAGATAAATGGGTTCTTAGGAGACAAGATGGGTACTCTGAGGGTTTGGGGCCATGTCTGTTTAGGTGTGGTGTGGTCAGAGATTTGCCTGGTTGCTCCCAGGGTAGGAACTGCTGACAGTTGAGGTGGGAAAGCTTTGGGACAGATAAGAGATTCCAGGGAGCTGGGTGTGGCGGCTCATGCCTGTAATCCTAGCTATTCAGGAGGCAGAGATCAGGAGGATGGCGATTCAAAGCCAGCCTGAGCAAATAGATCTTGAGACCCTATCTCAAAAAAAAAAACCCATCACTAAAAAGAATTGGTGGAATGGTTCAAGCAATAGAGTATCTACCTAGCAAGTGTAAGGCAAGGCCCTGGTTCAAACCCCAGTCCTGCCCCCCCACCCAAAAAAAATAGATTCCAGGAACCTGAGTGCCTTCTGCTGAAAATAATTGTTATGCCAAAACATGCATCCTGGATCCTCTGTGGGACCCTTTGTAGGTGCCCTCTGTTCTCTCCCAAGGCAAATGGATGCGTGTGTGTTGTGTGTGCAAAGTCCTGGCCACCCAGTGGGTCACGTGGGGACTCTTAGTGAAAATCCCAAGTACTGTCCGTCAAATTGGCCAGGGCCACTGCTGCAGGTCCGTGTGGGTTGTCTGGCTTCAGCCCCATTCTCTGTTTCTGCAAAGAATTCAGCGCCGAGCTAGTGATGGTGATGGGGATCTGAGGGCCAAAGGCGGTGGCTCCACCTGCCCCTCTACCCCCTCCCCTATGCGCCTGGGGCAAGATCAGCTCTCAGAGTTCACCACCATGTTGGCACAGCCAGTGTGTGTGTGTGTGTGTGTGTGTGTGTGTGTGTGTGTGTGTGTCTGTTTTTTAGTCCTAACCAACAGTTCTCAACCCAGGCTACACAGTGAGTCCCCTGAGGAGCTTTTTTGCTTGTTTGTTTTTTGTATTTTGTAGTTTTAGTTTTTTAAAAGGAGTTCTTTATATTTTTGGTGGGACTGGGGTTCGAACTCAGGGCTTCATACTTGCCAAGCAGGTGCTCTACCCCTTGAGCCATGCCTCCCTGGTCCTCCTCCTCCTCCTTATTTTATTTTATTTATTTATTTTTGTGGTACTGGGGTTTGAACTTAGGGCCTACATTCCAAGCCACTCCACCAGCCCTGTTTTGTGAAGGGTTTTTCAAGATAGGATCTTGCTAACTATTTGCCTAGGCTGGCCTCGAACCACCATCCTCCTGATCTCTGCCTCCTGAGTGGCTAGGATTTACAGGTATGAGCTCCCAACACCTGGCAGGAAGTTTTTTTTTTTTTTAAATACAGACCCCTCTGTAGTTTTTAGATGCCCCCTTGGGATGGCACTGTGCCACCAGGGTTGAGAACTGTTGTCTTCACCAAACCTGTTTGTAGAGGCCAAAAGTGTATCTGTCACTGTGGCTGTGTGCGTTCCCGTCACCTGGGGCTCTGGGGACCTTCAGCCTGCTTGTTGGTTGACTCAAAACCCACCTCTGAAGGCATTGTCCTCGTTTGAAGGTGGGAAGGTCAAGGAACCATTCTCCCCCTCACCCTTCTGGAGGCGGCCAGGATTATGGAAATCAAGGTCTGACTGCTTTGTCGTGGGTGTTTGGACACTGATTTTGTGTCAGCTAGAGCTTGAAGCCGGACACACGGGTTGCTGCTAGGTGTATGGGCTGGGGTATGATGGAGAGGCCTGCAGGGTGGGCCGGGAAGTGAGCTGGGGCTGCAGCCAGCCTGTGTCACTGGCCTGCAAGGCGGTCTTCACTGAAATTACAGAGTTGGCTGCAGACAGGAAGGTCACACTTCATGTTAAGATAGCACCAAATGATTTGGAAGACATGCTCTTGATGGAATGATGGCTTGTTTGGGTTTTTTGGTTTCATTTTGTTTTGATCTACTGTCTCACTGTGTAACCCTGGCTGACCTCGAACTTGAGATCCTCCTGCCTTAGCCTGCCTCAGCCTCCTGAGTGCTGGGATTACAGGTGTGCACCACCTTGCCCAGCTTACTGATAGCTTTTCAAGAGGAAAGAAGGGCATGTTGAAGGTGCCTATAGCGGATGCCGCTCTGATCGATGACAGGGGTGGGGTGAGCCTTCTTAGAAAAGAGGAAATGGGGTGCATCCTGAGGCTATGGACTTGCGTTGGAGTCTGTGACCAAGGAGACGAAGGCTGGGAGGAGCACCAGTGAGAGTCAGCTGGCAGTTCCCCCAGCCACTGGGGGACTCTGAGAGTGGTGGTTGCCTATGAAGGAGGACGCAGGGAGGGTTTCCTGGAGGCCGTGATGTCTGCCAGAGGATTTTGGACACTGGGTTCTAGATGAGGCATCCAGAGTCCTTAAATAAGAAAGTGGATTGAGGTTGCAGGGGTTCTGAATGCTGGGGCAGAATTTCAGTTTTAATGGAGTTGCCCCTTGAGCTGTGGGGGAAAAGGACTGACAGAGTGGGAAGGGCCATGCAGGAGGAAGGAGATGGGAAGTAGACAGCAGTGAGGACGATTATACCCCTCCCGGGGAGGGGCCACGAGGCCAAGACCAGCCTTTGGCTGAGTTAGAAGGGGTGACTTGCACACTGGGAAGAAGCAGCATTTGGCGAGGATGGGGAGGCAGTGGCCTGTCAACCACAAGCTGGAGAGACGGGGCCTAGATGAGCTGGGAAGGGGTCAGGACCGAGACGCAAGGCCACAGTAGAGGAAAGGTCACCCCAGGACACCAAGTTGAGTGGTGAGGAGATCCTGGGAGCTGTTGTACCCCACATTAGGGAAGTGGAAGAGGAGTGCAAGGGAGGAGGGACCAGAAGCAGCCCTTGCAGAAGGGGCTTCTGCAGTCCAGTGCTGCCCTGGGGGTCAGGTGGGTGGAGCTGGGTGCAGCCGACCTTGGCTAGGGGGTTCTGGGCAGAGGCCAGACTTTGAGGGCCGAGAAGCGAGTGGGTGGTGGGAGGATGGGAACCACTGTGTGGACCAGAGGGCCAGTCATTCAGAGAGGGAGTCAACAGTTAGAGGGTGCCAAGGAAGGGCTCGCCCGTTTTAGTTTCTGAGATCAGGGCAGCCTGAAAGTTCTCCTAGGCCCAGAGAGAAGGAACCGGAAGAAAGAAAGATGTCAACCGGATGCAACAAAGTAACCAGCATACTACAAGCCTCTGTGTCACCAAAAGACGCTCTTCAAGGACCCTCCCTCCTCATCACGACACTGCTTTCCCTTGGGGCTGCTTGGGGGTCCCCCTGCCTGCCCGCCCCAGGGACACATGACCTTGCGGACACTCTCAGAAGCCTTTGGAGGTGTGGGGGGGTGGGTGTGTGTTTGGGGGGTGGGGGGGGCGGGCATGGGTGGCCTGCATAGGAGCCCAGTGGGCCAAGGAAGGGTTGTTTTTCCTGGCACTTAGCAGGAAGCATCTGCTGCCTGCATTGGGTGTCACCTGGGTGGATGGAAGAGAGTTGGTGGGAAGGTGAGCTTGGCACTCATGACCTGGCTTTGCAGTGGCCAAGGAGCCTGGCAGGAGGGTGTAGGACCTGGAACTCTGTGTGTGTGTGTGTGTGTGTGTGTGTGTGTGTGTGTGTGTGCTCACACGCACTTGTGTGTATGCAAGAGAGAGGGTGCTGTGGAAACCACACCCCTTTCTGTTGATGTGGTGTCCCAAACTTCCTGGCAGGTGTCAGCCTCTGAGACTATGCTGGGCTCTTCTTCCTGTTTACTCAGGGCAAGATGGGAACCCCAACGGCTCCCAGAATAAGACCATGCTGACCAGTGCTGTGCCTGTTGTCCTCATGACGCTTCTGTTGGGAGGGTCGCCAGGAACACTGGGCACTGCTCCCCACGGTGGACAGGTGGCAAGGACACCGTGGCCCTGTTTCAATTGACCTGGTGCCTAGAAAGAGGCATGGGGGGAGAGGGGATTTTCCTTTGGGGCAAGCCTTGGTTGGATGTGGGTTAGGCTCAGAGCATCCCAAATGCAATAGCCAACTCAGATCCCCATGAGGGGTCAGCAGGGGTGCCATCCCCGCTCCCTGGCTGCACAGCCTTGAGCATTGTGTCTGGGTTTTCACCTGCTCACTGGAACCCCTGAGTTCCTGTGGGTTGAGGGGACTTGAAGTGTCACGTGTACAACAATGGTATCCTACGACAGACATTTGTTATCTTACACTTGAGAAGATCCAAATCAAATCAGACCCACCGGACCTAATATCAAGGTGTCAGCCCAGCTGGCTCCTTCAGGAGGCTCCTTCTGGTGGCTGCTGGCGTTCCCTGGCTAACAGCTGCATCTCTCCTGTCTCTGACTCTATCATCTTGTGGCCACCTTCTCTGTGGCCAGACTTCCCTCTGCCTCCCTCTTATTAGAATGCTTGTGGTTTGCATTTAGGGTTCACCTAGACAGATTCCTCATCTCAGATTTTACTGACACCTGAGTATGAGTCACATTCACAGGCTGGGGAGGGTGCATTGGTCAGCCTGTCCCAGGGGCTCATGGTGTATCTTAGGATCCTATGGCTTTAATATATAAAACAATGAAACAAACTGGGCCAAGGGAGAAAAAACAGGTACGATAAATTCTTTCTTCTTTATTTTTTTTTATTTTTTTTTTCTTCTTTATTTTTTTTAGTGTTGTAAAATCCACAGAACGTAAGCTTTACCATCAATTGCCCATGGTGCACTCACCATGCTGTCAGTGTTGAAAGCTAGAGCCTTTTCATCGCCCCAAAGCGGAAACCCCACATCCCAAGGAATCACTCCATCCCCCCTCCCAGAGCCCTTGTGTCTATAGATTCTTTTTTAAAGTTCAATTCTATGTGACTTTAAAATAAATAAACACAGCATGATGAGTTAGCTGTTGGAAGGGTATATACATGCAGCGGAAGCCGGCGTGAGGATATCCGGGCCTCCGGAAGGGCAGGAGTTGAAGTAGCCTGGGTGTCTGCCACCCTCTCCTCTCCTCCCTCCTTTCTTGGGGTCTCTGCCTGAGTACCCACTTTCTACTCTCCCCTTGCAGATGGTCCCAGAGAGCTCCCCAGCCCCCAAGTCTGTATCACCTTTGAGCTTCAGGGTGCTCCACCAAAAAAACATTCCGGGCTCCATACTTCTTGGGGGATTTCAAGGCTCAGCGAACCCTTCGACCAGGTCAACGGACCAGTGGCCAGCTGCCTGCCGGTCAGGAGTGTGTCCCATCCTGTATGAGCGAGAAGGGACAGGCAGGTAGAGGGGTGGGTAGGGTCCAGTGATTGGCATCGTTGACACAGTCTGGATGGTGCTTGGCCATGTGTGCAGCAAATTAATTCCTTAAGAGAAGCTCTGAAGCCAGGCACCAGTGGCTCACACCTGTAATCCTAGCTACTCAGGAGGCAGAGATCAGGAGGGTTTTTTTCTTTTATTCATATGTACATACAATGTTTGGGTCATTTCTCCCCCCTTCCCCCTGCCCCCTCCCCAGGAGGATTGTTGTTGGAAGCCAGACCTGACAGTTTGCAAGACCCTATCTCAGAAAAAAAACCAACACCAAAAAGGGCTGGTGGAGTGACTCAAAGGTTTAGGGCCTGAGTTCAAACCTCAGTACTGAAAAAAAGAAAAGAGAAGCTCTGACAGTGAACTCAGAGAGAAATGTCCCCAGAAAGTAGCCTCTGATTTGGGCACCAGTGACCTCAATCCTCTGATAGTCCATGTCTGTTTCATGGAGCTCTGTCTTATTCCCCACTAACTGTGGCTTATAGACTTGATACTAGAAGTGACTTAGGGGTTCCAAATCACAGTAAATTTGGGGTGAAATGAGGCATCTAGACCCATACCATCCAACACAGCTGCCACCAGCCACTTGAGCACCAGACATGGTTCTGGTCCAAGCTCAGAGTAAAATGCACCTTGGATTTTGGAGTCTTAAACTCAGAAAGGAAAAAAGAAAGTGAAATATTGCCATCGTTTTTATGTCGATTAAATGTTGAATTGATAGGCTCATTAAAATATATCAAAATTAATGTCACCTGATTCTTAAGGCTTTTTACTGTGGTAGCTAGAAAATGTAATTTATACCTGTGGCTTGCATCCTCAGCTGTGCTCTCAGAGATTGGATGTGCACTTGTGTAGTGATCAGGCTACTTCCTTGAAGGTAGGTGTGCTGAGTGGTCAAGACCTCCCCCCCCCCCACCCCCCGCCCCAGAAGTGCTCAGGAAGGATGTTCAGTATGGAGAAACAGTCCCAGAGAGCCCCTGGGACTCCTCCTCTGTGCCTAGTGAGCTTTGGCTATAAGAGAAGCCTGTCGCCTGGTACAGCCACCTCCCAAACCATGAATCTGGAAGAGGAGGGCGGGGAAGGGTGGGCTTGCAGGATATCTTTGCCCAGGAAGGGTGGGCTCTGGGAGTGGCCTGTGGAGGCAGAAAGTTGGGGAATGGAACAAGCAAGTGTAAGAACAGGAAGTTAGGAGGGCATCACAGGAAGGAAGCCCCAGAGGGGCTTACAGGGCGGGCATTGGAGGCCGGGTCTGTCTCTGAGGCTGTGTCAACCCTGACACCAGTGACACAGGAGTCTCTTCCAGCATCCTTTTCGTTGGTTTCTGGAGCTGCCGGTCAGGGCCCAGGATGGGTAGTGGGCAGTGGAGAGGACATACCCTGACGAATCACATTTTTTTGTTTCTTTTTGTTTTGTTTTATGGTACTGGGATTGAACTCAAGGCCTTGCAGATGATAGGCCAAGTGCTTTACTAAGTGAGACACAGCCTCAACCCTTTTGTGTTTGAGATAGGGTCTCATTCACTTCATCCTGCCTCCACCTCCCTAGTAGCAAGGATTACAAGCATGCTAGCCATGCCCGGCTTCTGGGAATGTCTTCTTGGAGGGAAGGGAAAAGTCTTTTCTAGGGGCTGGCCATGTGAGTTCCTTTAGTACTTGTGATTGGAGTTCATGGCACCCATTTTATATACGAGGAGGGCAAGACTCCAAAGATGTTAATGATGGGTCAGGAGCCTTGGGTTCCAGTGTTTGGCTGGTGGGGTGGGTGCCCTGGGGCCTTGATCACCAGGCTCATGGAGAGAGCTGCAGAGGGGAAAGAAATGCTGTGGAGCCCAGGGAAGGCCTTGGGCTGAGACCCTCAGGGCTGGGCTGGAGTTATTACTCCCTGGGCAAAAGAGAGCAGGCCCTACCAGGTGTCACTAAAAGCTCCCCGCAGCTTGAACTGATTGCTCCCTGCCCCAAGCAAACCCCACCCCATCACTCATAGTGTGGGAGCTGGCCTGGAGCCACTTAGAAGGGCCTGAGCCTGGGAGTGACTCACTAGGGTCAGAGGCAGGGGCAAGGAGATGGGTCTGGCAAGTCCCAGTGTCCAGGCGCAGCCCCAGCAGAGTCAGCTTCTTCCTCTCGGGACCCCCTGTCCAATGCCCTGCAGGGTCACACATCACAGAGGCCTGCAGGGAGGGGGAGGAGAAAACACCCTGACTCACTGCCCAGGTCCAGAGGAACCAGATGACAGTGAGTCCCAAGGCTCTCCGGCTGGGGATGAGCTAACCCTCCCCCTCCCCGGCCCCACCCTGCTCTTCTGCTCTTTCTCCATCCCTGGTGTTGGGCAGATGGGACTACTGTGTGGCTGTGCTCTGCCCCAGCTGCTCAAAGCCTGGGGCGATGGTTGTGAGGGTTGCAGATCTGGATGCATTCAGCTGGCTGCCTGAGAGCATGGCCACTGGGCTGGGGGCGGAGCAGGCACCGTGGACAGTGTCAGCTGCACTGCTGCCCTGGGTGTGTGGAGGGGACAGACCCTGGCAAGTGTAGGTGAAAGGGAAGGGTGGCATGACCTTAACCTAAGAGCTCCCCAAGGCTCTTCCCAGAGACCGTGTCACTCTCCTTTTGGGGGTGGCCCAGGCAGCTCCTCCTCCGTGTCTCTCATGTGCGAAGTCCCCCACCCGCCCCGATGGCTGTGCCTGCAGCCGGAGCCCCTCCCCCGCCTCTGGCTCCCCTCGCCCTGCCCCTCCAGCAATTCCCCTTCGAGCCTCCCTCCACAGGCCTTCGCAGGCCCTCCTACCTCTGCCCCGCACTCTGGGAGGCTCCTTGTTCCGCGGCCACAAAGCCCCTTTGATCCTCTGCTCGGCTCCGAGCCATGTGACCCGGTAGGCGGGCCGCGGCTCTCCGGCGTCCAGCGCAGCCCGACTTTCAGCTGCTGGGGTGAGTCCTCGCTCTTTGTTCTTCCAGCCCCACACCGTTTGCTGCGGGGGCCTTCAGGTGGTGTGGCCGCCTGGCGGGCACCGATGGCCACAGTGGGACCCGAGAGCTGCCCCGCCTCCCAGGCCTGGACCTCAAGACTGGCAGGACAGCCCTGGGTTCCTGGGCAGAGGGGCGGCGGGGCGCTGGGTCTCCACGCGGGGAGCAGATTTTCGGTCTCGGGACAGAAGAAAAGGGCTTTGTGTGGTCACAGCTATCTCTTTGTAAATATTTGGCCAACTCTGCAGAGTGGTTACGGTCCCCTCCGTGGGGAGTGTCTTGGAACATGCTGCCCTTCGCGAGGGGCTTCCCTGACTTCCAGGGGGCTGGGAGGAGAGGCCGATCTCCCGCTCAGCTTTTCAGCCTGTAGGAGTGGAGGCTGGAAGACTGACTGGCTGGAGGTTACTTTCCACCGACTGGAAGGGCGGTAATCAGGGATCCCGGGAGACTGAGCAGCAGGTCGGCCTCGGGTTCTTGGGATGGCTCTGGGATGGGCGGGGTGGGGTGGGGTGAGGGCTGGTATGCATTGGTTTTGCGAGGAAATGCCAGGTGGGGGTGTCTCCCCGATGGAGCCCATGTCCTTTCCAAGAGCTTCTTGATGGTCTTGTCCTCCAGGGGCTTTGCAACTGAGCTGAAGGTTAGGAGGGGAGAGGCTTAGACTAAAAACTCCACCGCCAGGCACAGAAAGTGGTCCTTTGCACCCAAACAGGGAGGAATGGAGGTGATGCCATCTGCTACTGAGATTTCGTCCCTAGTGTCTCCTGGGGACTGACTCAGCTTCCCATCTACCGCATGGCATCCGAGTCTCCCTCCCTCTCCTTTCTTGATGGGAAAGCCACCGGCTTTCGGTCAGAGTTCTGGGGAGCATCTCTGCTCCCCAAGAGAAGTGTGAAATTCCTTTCCTTGAGAAAAATGTACCACCCGGAAGCAGCTGAACGGAAACTATGGGTTTCTGGCAGATCTGTTCCGGGCTGTGGGGACAGGGCCCACTGGACCGATTGGAATCCCAACACAAAAAAAACCCATTAGAGAAGGCGGTGGTGAAAGAGTCTGCTCCTTTACCGGTGTGTGGTTCCCCCCCCCCATGCACACTCTACCTGACACTTAAAGGAGCCCTGTGGCGGTTACACAAATGTCACTCTCTTTGGCCAACTCCCCTTGGCAGCCAGGAAGCTCCTTTTTAGGAACTGGGAAGAACATGGTTGTTTAAGCCTCCTTAGGGTGGTCAGCCACTCTCCCTGCATCCTCTTTGGAAAAGTGGGACTCGTGTCTCTCTCTTCTTGGGTCTCTTGGGCTAAGAGGTGGCTGAGGAAGGCAGGCCCTTGTGTGATCTTTCTGTTTTAATGTCTGTCTCTGGGAACCTGAGTCATGGCTGACCCAGCCCACCCCTCCTGCCCTCTGGTCATTTCTGTGTCAGGGTATCTGTGCTCACTTGAATGGATTGTGTTGGAGTGTCCTCTAGATCCTGCTCCTGTGGACATCATTGTGATAGTAAGAGGGCCAGCAGCTGGCACACAGGGGACCTACTTTGTGCATGGGCCCAGTATTCTGAGATGGAGGAGCCACACTTCTGCTGCCATCTGAGAGCCCTGTTTAGAGGGAAGGTGGCCACAGACAAGGCCCAGAGTAGCAGGTCTGTGCCTGGCCCCATAACTGCAAGTCAACAATGAACTTTGTTGGGACTGTGGAGTCCTCTAAGTGCCAGATCCACTGCCCTTGACTGTGAGGACGGCTCCCCAAGACCTTCACCCCAGGAGGCCTCTACCTACTGGGTGACCAGAGGGCCATTGACTTCACTCCCCACCCCCTCCCTTCCCAGTCAGCATATCCTCCCAGCTTCCTGTCATGTCAGGGCTGGTTGAGCTGTTCTTCTCAGATAGGGCAGCTCTGTGGGGCTGAGGTCCTTCTGTAGAAGAGGAAGACCCATCCTAGAAGGGCCCCATAGCACAGATTCCCTGCCCTCCCCATGTCAAAGGTCGCACGCCTCCTCCAAGATACCCGGCACGGCACCAAGGCTGAGCTTTTCTCTGATTCCTCTCACACCGCAGTCTGTGCTGGCTTTCCCACACCACCCCGGAAGTTTCTGCGTTTCCTCTCTCCCTCCCTGGCCATGTGTGTGGGAAGAAGGACTTTATTTAATGCATGAGGATAAAGGCAAAGGCCCACTGGCCACCCTCGGGGGCTGGGTGGGCTGCAGCGGCTCCTCCTGTGTCATCTCCATCCTCTCACCTTAGCATACACCAGTGATGCCAGCTAGGCTTTGGGAAATGGCCTGAGGCCTATGTCCCTGGAGGGTCCCCTCTTCCTACAGCCAGGGAAGAGCCTTCCAGCAGAACTCTGTAGCCCCTCATTGGGGCTCCCTTCCCAGACCTCTCTGTCTTACAGCACCAAGCTTTGATTTGTTTATTGAGCGTCAGCCTGGTTCCTTGAACAGGTAGGGACCTGCTTTCAGGAGCTCTGTGGAGCCTTGGATGCTTTCCCATGAAGGCTTCTGAGGGTGGCAGCGGCTGTGCACACTCACTCTGCGTGTGAGCGTGTTCTGTGAGAAGTTAACCTGCTCAGAGGCACAGGTCTAATTACAGGCCAGCAAGCAGCAACTGCCCACACCTGGGGAGGTGGGTGATTCTAACACACTCCACACTCAAGACCTCCATCTGCCCACCCTCCACAGCTCCTTAAAGCCTCATAGGGCCCCAGAGGGTAGGATCTCTCCTGCCTTGGCTCCTCCTGGGGCAGAGGGCATGCCTGCCTCATCCTTTCTGTTCTCTTTTACCTGGTCTGTACTCTTTCATCCACACTGGGAAACACGCCATTCCAGGCTGGGAGGACCCATGGAAGGGATTCTTGCTGAGAGGCCAGGGTATTTTCTGAGCCCAGCTTCCTGCAGCACCCTGAGCTACCACCTTAGCTTCATTTGGGTTCACTGCCCACACCTGCAGGCAGAAGTCAACATCTGCATGTTTCACCCCAACCGACTCCAGCTGGCACCTGGCAGGGGGTTGGGGGGGACTGGTCTTTGTTGGGGGTTGGGTGAACATGGCTCAGTGTAAAGGGCCTGAAAGACGGCAGACCTGAAATGCTATCTGTGAACATTTTAATCTGGATTCAGTAGCTGGATCTCGGGCAGAAGTCCCCAAATACCTTCAACAATCCCCTGAAACTGAGGTCAGGGCACCATCTAAATTGCCGGCTTCTGAGCACCCTGGGCTGCACTTGGAGTCCCAGTTCCAGGCTGGGCATATGTGGAGGTTGAGACCAATACAATCAGACACCAGCCCCCACCTGGTCTTCAGAAGCAAGGCTCATGGCCAGGGCCTTTTTTTCCACCCCACTTGGCTTGCAGAACCTCCTTTCCCCACCTGGGCCCACAGCCCCAACCCTGTAGGTGCCAGGCACAGAGATGTGGCCATCAGAACGGTCATGGGGACAGTTGTCCTTGCCAGTGTCCCTTGTGGAATGTGGGCAGCTGTCCATCCTCCCAGATCCCTATCTCTTGTCTTAAAGCTCAGGCTTGGTTTCAGGTGCCTGCTACCCTGCAGGAGGAGATAAGACTTTTCAGCCTCTGAAGGCCAATTAGGGCAGAACCATGAATTTCCCCACTGGGCTAGACATATCCACTAGGCAAGTCAAACCCTAAATGTTCGGGGCCTCCGCATAGTGGGGACGCTGGTGTGGGTAGGGAGTGTGGCTTATCGATCTTTGTGTCCCAGGTTCTGGGCATCCCGTGTGCTTACTGGGTTAATGTTTCAATGAGTGAGTGTGTGACTGCAGATTTGCGACTTTTATCCAAACATCTTGTTTGAGGAGGCCAGCCCAAGACAATCTTGTAGGATTCACTGTACTTTCTCCTTTTCTCCCCCCTCATGAGGACTCAGAGAGTTTTTCAGAAGGGGCTTGGCTCAAGTGGTAGCAGACCTGCCTAGCAAGTGCAAGACTGTGAGTACCACAATACTGCCAAAAAAAAAGTAACAGTTCTTTGGTGACTTAGAGAGTGCCAGTAGAGGGACAGGAGCGGCATTCTTTGTGTGTTGTTTGCTAAGCCAGAGGAAATGCCACCCATTGCTGGGTGTCAGTGCAGGCCCAAGACTAATTAATGATGGGTCAGACAGTGGGCCTGTTGATCGGGAGGGAGGATCACTGCTGTTTGTGGCTGGGGTAGTGACCAGGGATGGCACAGAAAGCTGTGGAGAGGAGGATGCCAACATTCATTGGAGGACAAGGAGGTCAGCTTGGACCAGATGGACATGGCTTCCTGGCTCACCTACACCTGGCCCTGTGTGAGAGAGGACACTGAACTGGAAGACCCACAGACACTTTGCAGACCACAGGCTCTGCTATGCTAATGTGTCACTGCTGCCTGTCACTTCTGTGGTTCCACTGTTAAGAGCTCCAGAGGGCTCCAGGACCCCCTCCTCTCCTTGTCCTCTTGGATTCAGGAGTCAGACAGACCCAGCTCCCAGCTCTCCAGGGCTGTGGCTTGTCCCTTCACTGCTCTAAGGCTTGGTGACAGTAATGGATGAAGAGGAATTACCATGGTGGCTGCTCAGGATCTGGTGATGGGCACCTGGTAACCTGGTAGCACAGGATCCCCTGCTCCTATCTGCAAAGGTGTGGTCCTTGTCCCTGCTGCACACTGAGGGCCCCATGGCCAGGTCGGGCCAGAGGACCCCTGCTGAGTCTTGGAGCCCCTATTAGAGACCCACCCTGGCTGGTCTCTAGTCCCACAGAGGCATGGTCTGGGGACCACTGCCCTATCTTCTTCCTTTCTTAGGGGGTTAGTTACATGTGATCTTGGGGTAAGAGGCCTAGGGAGAGGAGCTGGATGAGCAGTGAGTTCTGTGTCTGGTGCTTAGTGTGGCTGGGCCCTCCC